GGTAAAGTAGTAGTTGAGTCGATGTAAAGTAGTTGAATCGATGTAAAATTGCGACATACATACGTCGCATATGATTCGCTGAATTGGTTCATAATTTAATTTATAAAAAGTTAGTCGATGTTAAGTAGTTGAGTCGATGTAAAATTGCGACATACATACGTCGTATATTATTCGCAGAATTGGTGAATAATTAATTATAATATTTATATTTTGGAAAGTTCTTTGTCTGTTAATTAAATATAAATTGAATGCTACATCGCATATTATTCACAGAATTGTTGCATAATTAATTATAATATTTATTTTTTGGAAATTTCTTTGTCTGTGAATTAAATATAAATTGAAGACTACAATTAGATGAATGAACCGTCGATTATTACTTCAAAACAATTTCGCATAAAAATCTCATAACACTCATACTATAACGAATAAAATATAATTTTTTATGTTTGTTTTTGTAAATTTTCTATTCTGCGACATACGAGATTGTGACATACGAACGTCGCATATTAGTCCTCGAGTTGGTAAATAATTCATTTATAAAATTAATTTTTGAAAATTTTTTTGTCTGTGACTAAATTACTAATAAATTGAAGACTACTACTACTAGGCCAATGAACCTGCGATTATTACTCGAAACAATTCTGCAAAAAAAAGGGAAAACACTAAAACAATAACGACTAACATATATTTTTTTTATGTTTGTTTTAGTAAAGTATCTATTCTGTGACGTACCAGCTCTGCCTTTTTATATTGGCATCAGATATTCATCCTTTGGTCTTGCTAGATTGATCTTTTCAAAATCGATACATACGTTCTTCTTGACAATGGGGACTTTCTTTGACAGCCATTCTGTGTAAGGAAAAATTGCGACATACAAACGTCGCATATTTTTCGAAGAGTTGGTAAATAATAATTTTTGGAAAATGCTTTTTCTTTGACTAAATTAATAAATTTAAAAAACTAATAGGTGAAAAAAAGCGGTACGTAACACTATTCGAAATGTGTTTGCATATTGATACATTTATGCGAGTTTTATATGGATATGCGATTCGTAAATATGCGAAAACATTACGCATACTTGATAGTTATCTAAGCCTTATAGATTTGGATATGCGAATCGTAAATTATGCGAACATATGCCGCATAGTCGCGTACTCATAAATGATACAATTTGGATATGCGATAATCTAATTACGCGACAATTTTTCACATTTCTTAAATGATGATGCGGTTGATCTGGTATGGATATGCGATTAAAAAATATAAATTACTTTTATTTAATTTTTTCATTACGTTATGCGAAAACTCTGTTAACGGACATTAATAGTTTAATTGTCCATGCAACATATTATTTTGTTTTGACATATGAATCATGATTAAACAAACACATACTTGACAGGAGAAAAAAATATTTATTATTACTGTAGTCAGTCAAACAAAATAAGCCAAACAACTTTTGATTACATGTCTAGTGGATTCTAAGAGTCGAGAGCGATGACTTCCACGTTTGGTTGTGGCTGATGGATCCGATCATCACCGTCATCGTCTATTTCTTCCTCCCAGATTGGTTCGTCAACCGAAGCACCAGGCCCACCCTCCAAGTCTATCGCCGCTGCGTTGTGCTCGGTAAAAACCTCGTAACAATCACCATACCAAGGGAATCCTTCCGAACGGAAAAATGCTTGAGTGTCGGTCTCCTGTGTAATAAATTTAAATCTTTTTAGATTATTATGGCCGCTTCACAATAATGCATGCTTGAACAAACTAAAATAAAAAATCAAATGCAATTTACCTCCTCCCCCACATACACCCAGTACATGTGGTTAACCCTAGCAAAGTCTGTATCACAACACAAGAGGACGCCTAGAATCCTCAGGAAAGCAGTAAATTCATCGAAATAATTTCTGAGCCGATGAATCTTTCGCCGGACTTGGGCAATAGTAAACTCCCTCTTAAATGCATAATTCGGGCAGTGGTTCAGGACTATTGAAATTTCTGCCCACAAGGAATTGAACACATGGCCTTTGTGTATGTCTGCCTTCTGTCCAGTCCTTTCCATTTTTTTTCGCAAACGTGCGCCTCCTTGCAATCGAAAGATAGGGTTTTGAGAAGTGAAAGGTCGCCTCTTCAACAACTAGAATGAAAGGTTAATAAATACAGATAGTATTTAAGTCTAGGTAGATATACATCAACTCGACAACTAAATGAGGAAGCATTCAAATCGTCATAGTTTTTTACGTGTAAAAGCAGACAATCAATTAATGCGGTGCGTAACTTATGCGAACAATATGCGAAGCATTTTCGATTTGGATATGCGGTGCAGACAATCAATGAAAACGGTGCGTAACGTAACTTTCGATTTGGATATGCGGTGCAGACAATCAATCAATGCGGTCCATACAAATATGCAAAAAAAATGGCGGATAGTCGTAAATTATGCAGCTTTCGATTTGGATATACGATTCGTCAATTATGCGGTTGAAAACTAGGCGAAACAACCCAATTGTGCGATTATTATGGGACATGTTATGCGAATCGCACAATCAACCCAATTGTGCGATTCTTATGGGACATGTTATGCGAATCTCACAATCAACCCAATTCTGCGATTATTATGGGACATGTTATGAGAATCGTGCAATCAACTCAATTGTGCGATTATTATGAGACATGTGTGCATGTCAACCCAATTCCGATTTCGACAATTGTACCTGGATTACGAACATTTACTTCTCATTGACCTCTTTGTCTTCTTCGCCTGAATCATCATTGTCTGTGTTGGTTTGGTCATCATTATTGTCATCGTCACGAGAATGACCTGGTTGGTTCGAAAAACTCGTGGTTTGATCATCAACACCCCGAGGATAGCTAGTATGTGTAAATGAACTAGGGCCTGCTTGATGTGAATATGGGACCTCGTGGGAAAATGCAGAACTACCAACACCAAAAGAACTAGGAAATACACCTTGGGACGCCATCATTTGCGTGAAGCTTTGTTGCACCGTCCCCGGAATCCCTACATTTACTCGCTTCTCCAACTCCACGTAAATGTTGATTTCTTTGTTCTTCAATCAGCTCTAAAATATCCTCACTGGATTCGATTTTCATCTTCACAACTCGTTCCCTTCCATCAAATACTGCCCACAATATGTACTCAAAATTACAAGGATCGGCCTTCAATAATGCTTGAGCACGAGAAACTATTTCAAAATACATTTGTCGGCCGTAATTTATTCTTATCAGCTCTGCCACTCTACCAAGATTTGAACCCCCGCAAAACGAACCACCAAAAGTGCAACAATAATCTAACACGGTTGCTAGCCATTCAAATAAGTGAACAACAAAAAGAAAAAAAAAAAAAAAAAAAAGAAAAATGCAGTAGATGAATGGTGCAAACGTTAAATTATTAGAGATTACTGTGTTTTTGCCTGCATGATAAATGCAGAGACCAAATCCTCACCTGTGAAAAAACAGTCAATTAATGAGGTGCAGAACTTATGCGAAAGATCTGCGAACGAATTCTGAATAGTCGTAGAATTGTCAGGTCGATATGGCCCTGCGAAAAAATGGCGCATAATCGTCTAATTAATTATGCTTTATTCGATTTGGTTATTGCGATTCTTAAATATGCGAGCGAAAAAATGTCGCATAATTGTCAATTATCCGGAGGATATATGAGAAATTTTTTCGCATATAAGTAATTATGCGATTGACTTGGATATGCAATTACCAAAAAATGCGTAGTCAACAAATTATGCGAATTAGATGCGAAATATTTTCGAATAGTCATAAATTTGCAAGGTCGTTATAGCCCTGCGAAAAGAAGACGCATAATCATAGTAAATTATGTTGCATTTGATTTGTATATGCGATTCTTAAAAATGCAAAAGATGTTCGCATATTTGTAAATTATGCATTTAATATGGATATGCAATTAAAAAAAATGCGAAATGTTTTCGCATGGTCATAAATTATGCGGCCGATTGGATATGCGCTGGTTCATTTGGACATTCGAGTGTAATATCGCATAGCATTTCGTGAATTTTGGGGTGTAAAAGAAGTTATTTGACAGCGTGGTGTGTAAAAGAAAGAATAGATATATAACGGAATGAAAAAAAATTTCACCCTTCGCTAATTATATATAAGGGTGATATAATATTTTTACAAAAATAATATTTCATATTCAAATAGCTCACGCAACACACAATTATAGTTACGGAAGATGCTACGGTCCACCTATGAAACCATTTCGTCGGAGTTTGTAACCATTAGATCAACCATCTTTGACAATTACATGATAATCTAACAATTACAAATTCCGACAAAATAATTCTGTAATAGACCGTTATCATTTCCCGTTAGTTACACTGCGTAATATAAAAAGAAAGAAACACGACGCACTACCGCGTTTTAGTACACTAGGCATAGGGTGAGGGGACAGGAGATTAAAACGTCAAAACTGGATAACGACCACTTTTTTTTCCCGCTTTTCATGCTTGTAATAATGTAATGTAATATAGTATGCTTTTCTCTTCGGACTCTACAATTCTCTTTTTTTTTTTTT